CGACTCGCGCAAATTAAGACGTCACGACAGCGCGCGAATGATTTTTATATAATATGGGACGATCTGTTGACATTAGCCTGAGTCTTGCTTAAAATCGCCCAATGATTGTAATAAAGCAAGGTTAACAGCAGAATTTGACCCGGTAAAGTAGGAATTGACAATAGTATTAGAACTTCTTGTGTATATGGCAGTAAATCTGCAACTGCAAGTATGCTTACTCATTACGTCTCTTGCATGTCTATGGATTAGGCGGATAGAAGACGTGACAATCTGAGATTTTCGAATTCATCATCATTCATTCCTTTTAAGATATTCTTAAGAGGTGATCGTAAGAGATAAGCCTGGCACGGATTTGATAGTGCACATTTTACGAACTGAACTATAAAGTTAGATGAAAAAGACATGTTTACCTAGAAGGGTCGCTGAAATTTGATTCCTCTTGTTATACTGTTCGCTCAGAATTGGTTACTACTTTTTCATTTCATTTCATTCGTTTAGTAACTCACTTTTTTGAAATGTTCTTTCGTTTTTCTATATAAAAACGCACAGCTTTTTGATCAAAATCAGCGAAAATTTCATTTTATCACGTCTCATACTAGATCACAAAAAAGGGAGGCGCAGATGCATGGAATACCTAAAACGTGGCGAAAAAGAATGACTGAGTTGCTTCTCTGACGAGCTTATAGCACTATTTGCAGGTATGGCATACTAACGCCAGGACCGCAGTCAGCGACCATTGACTGGGAACTACTGGAGCGCACATACGACCTTACCGGAAGAGTTAACTTCGACGAGACGCGAGCACTGAACGCAGCCGCCGCGTGCGACGCCCGCGAACAAGAATATGCACGAGTCGTTGTGCAACCCGTCACGGGCATCTGCAGCCCGGCAACTGACGTTCGCGCCACTCTTCGCGGTCGTGTCGTTCGATACCTCGTTAGGACAGATCGCGTCGTCCTCGGTCGCAGTACCCCCCGTGATCCCGTAGATCTTGATCTTGCTCTTGAGGGCCCCGCAGAGAAAGTATCACGAAAACAAGCTGTGATAGCTCGAGATCCGTCGACAGGACAGTTTGAAATGACGAACGTTGGAGCTCGAACAATCTTCGTAGATGGGAAGGCGCTCGGAACGAACAACCGTACCCGTCTCGTCGACAACTCGATCGTTCAGATCGCCATCATTCGCCTTGTATTCCGAATTGGCCAATAAAATTAATGTAGATGCAGCTACTCAGCTGTAGCCTCAGGCCTGAAATTGTATACAACTTGTCATAAAAACTTCTTTGTGAATCATTATAATTATGAAGGTCTCGATTTTGCTATGGAGTTAGTTTTAATGACATACACTCTCATTAACAAAAGTTATATGCAATGTATTCATCGTGTAATAAAATCGAATTAAAAAGTTTTTCAATGTATGTGAGAAGTTTACATGTGAAGCGATAAAGTTGAAAGGGTTTGTTGTCAGCCAGAGG